TTAGCTATAAAATTTTCGACTGGTTTTTGTATGGATCTGATAGAGATTTTGTTCCAGCGTTATTTGGTATTTTGCGCTATTTCGTAAATTATTGCTTCTTGCTCTGACGATGCCTATCACATGACAGATGAAAGCCCAACACTGGTTAATCCTAGTGACATTCTAGTGAACCGAAGTTCCAGTCACACAATCTAGCAATATTCAATCAAAGACGATCCTCCTTCAATCTCCAATTAGACCAATTCACGAATTCCTTCCAACACACTTCACCTTCGAAACGGAAAGTCGAGTCACATCCACATCCCCCATAAGTTGTGCTGATCGAGAACAGCTTGGTCTATCTTGTGCAACGCAATGAGGTTAGGCTGATGTTCTTCCAACGGAGCAAACACATCTTCGTTTCGAACTTCTCTGGTGACGCTGAACAGACCGAAGCGAAATCACATCTGCAGTCCAGGTTAGAGTAGAACTATCTCTTGAGAGGCCTGGCACGGTGGATTTGACTGCAAAGTAGAGTATTCTTCTCTTTCATTCAACCTGGCTAGAATAGCTTTCACTTTCTGTACCATCAAAACCTATTACAGAACCTGCCAGGGAAGAAGGAGTCTTAACTAGAATACGTTGTGGAGGCCAGCTAAATAAAGCGGAGTATTCTACTGCTGAATTAGGGACGTATAAAATTCGCGATTTGAGATTGTTAGCGAGAATTCAAGCATTATATATGAGATGTATCTATCCTATTTCGTTCAAGGTGATAAGGGGACTGGTAATTGAATTTTTCCACACTCATATGAGTAAACCTTACGTATCTATTCAATTTCACATAGCCATGCTTTCCCAAAAGATATCTTCGTCCAGACTGGGGAGGACTGAAGTTTCGACCAGGTCTATGTCGCATCAGCACCCTCAATAGTCTTGAAAGCCTGCTTATAAATGCAAAAAACTATTCAGTCATTGCCTTTTATCCAAATGGTTTCTTGTGTCACCAAACTAAGACTCACTTGTATTCTATAGCTTCTCGCCCCACGTCATTGTCTTGCCTTGGCCACGAGTTTCCACGGCGACAGAGCACAAATCGGGCATCCGTCTGCGACGTGACCTGCTCGAAGAAGAGAGGCAGCTCTCCTCTGTTGTGCAGACGCACTGCGTGATGTGTTATCCTCTCGGACGGGCTCGAGGCCGGCGAATCCAGCAGCGGAGGCAGCCAGATTGGCCCGGCCGGGCCGATTTGGTAGTCTGGACGAAATGGTTCCATGTGCCGGCCGAATGAGTGACCTGTAAAGACGGGAGAAGATGACCGAGGCTTAGGAGGTTGAGCAAGGAGGAGATGGAAGTTAGTGCTCAGTGGACCGTTTTGGATCTGACCGTAGGGTTGGATCGGTTGAGGTTTCCTGGTGCGAGCTGGTTTATCCGTTCGCATGTTGATCCATGACCGAAACAGGCGTTCCGACCAAAGTTGAGGCTCGACAACCCTATGGTACAGTTATTCTGGACGAGAGTGGAGCCGACTATCGTTAGATGAATTTTAAGGATGCGAACAATTCCTGAGTACTACGTTTCAATTGACACTTTGCCTCACTTTAGGAAATAAATTATCCATATTCAGATTGAGTAGGCTTCAAATAAGAGCGGTAGAAGGACTGATGGTTAAATTCCCCCCCAATCATATCAAGCTTCATTTACGGTATTATAATCAAAACTAGACTGGACTGTAGTTTTGATCTCAGATAAATTTCATCAGCACTCCCAACAGGATTTCAAACCAGGCACGGCAGTGGACAGTTTTAACATGATACCACTACTCTCCACTGCCACGGGTGCCGATGAATCTCACATGGCAGACCTAAATATGATATATATGAAATGTACTGATAGTTTCGAAAATCTACTTATGAACGAAGTATGACATGATTTAAGTAGGGATAATGAAATTATTTACCAAAATCAAATAACAAGGCCCCAAAACGCTATTGAATTTCACTGAAAAACCAGGTCGTAAAAATTAATTGGAGGCACACAAGCACTCCACTACACTGCCAGAAGTGCCAGTGATTCACAGGGCAGATGACATTTTAAAGGTAATCCAGGCCTCTCCCATATCGTTGTTATAGTAACACTTTTGATTAAAAGAGCGTGTATTTTACAATACAATGAAAGAACTTGCTTATTTTTAATCTGAGTATATAATTCTAGAATAACTGTGCTATTTCAAGTAAATCTGAGAAAGATCGCAACTACAGTTCACCCTAGTTTGAGCCTATTTATTTTATTGTGGGGATAATTAGTAAATTCTGATTAAATAGGCCTCATAAATACCAGTAAATCTCGAGTGAGAGCCGTATTCCCCATAGTTCTCGATCTACTGGTGGTTTCGAAACCTACTTAATGTGAATATAAGTAATGTAGTCGATTTTAATAAGAAATATAATTTTGCATTATCGACAAACTTACTACAAAATGTGATATTGGAGAAGCCTACAAATATGATTTAGGAAAAATTCAACGACCAGTCCTTCACAACCTTATACGACCTATGATGAATACAGCTATTATTTAATATTTACTAAATACCCCTTAAATTACCTTAATCTAACTAGGATGACTAATTTCTTTATCTGACATTTTTGCTAGCTTTGAAGTATATTCACACCAAGACTGTCCTGCGAACCTGAGGAATCCGAGACAATCACTGCGCGAGTCACTTCCACCCAGACCGAAGGAAAGTATTAATCCCA